GAAAAAAAAACATCAATTTGACGTCTGTGTTTTGTCAGTTTCCTTTACAATCAGCTTTACTGCAAATCCAAGGCACTGCACTGAAAAACAGCAGCACAAACTTCTCCACTGCACTGCCCGAACACTCCCAAACACCTGTTCCTAAGTTACTGTAATTTATTTGTCACCTCGGTTCCTTTGTATAGCTCATTAGGCCGACATTCACTCCCTCACCACCTCCCCGCCCCCCGTGTCTTTCTCTCCCTGGATTTTTGAGACCATTCGGGGTTTCGCCCGCCCGACCAAACACCTCTTTTTAGACTGCACTAAAGGAAGATGGAGGGATCTCATCTTGTCTAAGAAAACGTCCTCAAGACGCCATTTTAGTTCGTTGCTGACCAGTTGGTGCAAAAAAGGATCAACATTTTGATTTGCTTTTTATTTTAGACTGAGTTTTATTTTGAATGCTTTTTTTGTATCTTGAACCCTTGTTTCAATTTCTCGGTGTATATTTTAGTGATTTTTTTTTTTTTTTTTTAAATATTGTTTTTTTTTTATATAGTGGTATATATATGAAAATAAGCTTTGGACACAGGAAAGCCATTTTTCTTGTTGAAGCGTCTTGCAGAAAATTGAAACTTAAGGCTTCTTTTGATAACTATTTGTAACAAATAGTGACCTCGAGTCTTGCTCAGATGTAAAATAATGCTCAGTATGTGTACTTTTTAAAACTGTCAGGATATGTCAATTTTCTTGGTATTTTTGCAGGCAACATTAGGACAAAGGCGAGAGTGATAGCTCAGAGGCCTATATTTTATTGTTCTAAAACATGACAAATGAAGCAGATATATATATTTACCCCAGCACTTGGCAGTCTTTCTTTTATTGCAATGGACCTTTGTCTTTTCTCTCTGGTAGCTAATAGTGTGGTCTTTAGCCATGTTTATTCCATGCAAGCATCTCTGTAACATTTTGATTTTAATGCTCTATTTTAGTATTACTTGATGAATTCCTTTTTTTATTATCATGTTTTGGGTCACTGTCATCTTGGTATAGCATTTTGCTTTCCAAGTGGTCATATTTGAACTGTTTCAACATGTTTTTGTTTTGTTTTTTGTAAGAAAAATAAAAAGGCACCATTGGCTCATTTGATCACTCGTGTGGTGGAAAGACCTGAGCTAGAGGTGCCAGATGTAACAGTCTGTGTCATCCTTGGAGAATATAATGTAAGCATGGATAGGTGGTAGAGTTGAAGCAGGATAACACACACTGGATATGACATGTTTTTAGTCTTTGTGGAAACTTCAAAAAGCTCAAAGAAATTGACAAGCAATTTAAAGTCCAAAAGCACACAGCGCTTGGGGCAACATTTATAATACAGTATTATTGCAATGGTAATGAAAAGAGAAACCGACATCATCTGAATATAAAAACCTCTCAATTGTGTAACAAGTTGATTTCAAGGGTGAGATTTGTCTTTTTTTCTGGTCTCAGTGTAAAAGATTGTTAGGTAAACAGACTTTAAATTCTGTAAAACCTCTTCAGGTTTTGAATTAGAATTGAATTTCTGAAGTAAACACAACATTTTTGATGATAGAGCCAAGATCAAAGGGAAATTCTATTTATAGACAAATGAATTGTGCTGCTTGGATGTCCCTATTTCCAGTAAAACAGCACCACCTTGTGTTCCCGTTGGGTTCCCAGAAACCAAGTGGTAAGGACAACCATTCCCAAAGTGCGCAATGGTTTATAACAGCATCTGACAAATGATTCATTCAAGTCACTTTTATTTATAAAGCCCAAAATTACGTTAGTCTCCAACACAATCTTAATGACACCCTCTATCCTTTGACTCGATTGCAATAAAACTCACCAAATACCCCTTTAACACGGACAGAAGTAACAATAGAATTACAGTATAAAGTAAAAGGTTAAGTATGATAAAAATAACGACAAAGTCTCTCTCTGCTTAGTGTTGCTCCACTTAGGTGTTTGACTTTCACAGTAAATATTGAAACGATTGTTTTTTTCAATTAGGGAAAAGGATAAGATTTAATTTTAAGATTTTTTAACAAGGTAATTAAACTTTTATGTCGAGGAAAATATCAAACAACTTAATGAACACAGTATTCTTTATACGACTCATAACCAATAGTGTCTCCTCACAAACAACAGGGCTCCTATAAACACTGAAACAGGTTTTTCTTGCTGTAACTTCCTGTTCATACCTGGCAGTCTGAGTTAAACAAATCATCTGGATACATTTTCAGTTAAAGTGTGCAGTGTTTCACAGCAAAGTGTTTAAGCTGCAGTGGAAACACAAAATGGGAATTTTGTTCTAAAAATACTAATATAGGAATATATCCACTTAATTTGTCTAGTTCAGACAGCTGACCTCATATTAGCTTCAGATTAACCACCAAGTGGCGGTAATGTGCCAGCAAAGAGAAGGAAGAAGACTGCTGCTTAGTAAACGGATGAAAAAATAGGTTTTAAAATGTTCAACAAAAGTTTTTATGAGGAAGGAAATACATTAAACACATCTGTAACTTTCTACAGCACTGACTGACCAATCCTACTGAAAACAGGATCGATTATTATATATGAACATTATTTGTGCTACTGATTCTAGTAGATCTGAGAGGCATTCACATTTTATGGTAAGCATAAATATAACTCTGATCTTCATGTAAGTGTACCTTTCACTCCAACGACAACAAGAACAGACACCAAGTATTTGAAAAGTCTATTTATTCAGAATTAATTTCTTCACACACAAAGATGTAATTCAGTGGACGTCCATAAGACAATGGACTGACAGACAAAAGTTGACCTTCAATGTAGAAGGAACAGGCACTTTTTATATTTCCGTATCATATCAGTCCTTGTTAGATGGCTTATTTTCTGAAAACACTGCAAAACTAAATTACTTGTACTTGTAGAATCCTTCTCCTGTCTTTCTGCCCAATTTTCCCTCTGCAACCTTCTTGTTCAACAGTTCGCTCGGGGCAAAGAGTGGGTTGCTGGGATCCATGGCAGACCAACCTGCAATAACAAAAGGAATAGATTTTTACATTTAACATATTAAATCATTGTCCTTTCTCGAAGCGGTTTCATATTATCAAAGGCTGGTGATATCCAAACCTGTATTTTCCACATAGTTTTACTCACCATCAATGATGAACTTTGCTGTGTCTAGTCCCACAAAGTCAGCGAGCTCGAGGGGGCCCATGGGATAACCTGCACCGAGTTTCATGGCAATATCGATGTCCTCTTTGGATCCATGACCTGAGGTTGAAAACAGAAAAACAACACCATGCAAAGCTGCAGAAATCAATCAAAACCTACAAAATAATCCTGAGGGATACTGAATTAGAGCCCCAATATTTGATTCTGTTCACTTAAACATGAATGTGAAAGAAAGACCCATGTAGCTCCTTTCAATTTCCCCCAAAAGGACCACTTAAAATCCCAAAGAAACATAGTTATGGACACTTAATCCTAGTAAATGACAATCCCAATACACAAATTATGGCAACTTTACTATCGACATTACTGGTGCTTGTGCGGGTATTCATACCTCTCTCATGCAACCGGACGGCCTCCATTATGTAGGGAACAAGCAGGCGGTTTACAATGAATCCTGGTGTGTCCTGGATAAAGAGACATTGGATGCTGCTGAGTGGGCTGTTAAATACATTTTTAAAAGAGACTACACATAATATGACATCACATCTTACCTTGCAGGACACCGGCGTTTTTCCAAGCACTTTGCTGAAGTTCAGGAGGGAATCAAAAGTCTCTTGGCTTGTTGCTGAGGTTCCAATGACCTGTGAAAGAAAAATACTTCAGCAACTCTGATTGTAATCCCACTTAGCTTGACAGAAAAGGTGAATAATCTCAATGTATCTGTCTACATTCACACCGGGCTCACACTTTTAATACGTTATGTTAGGGAATATTTCAATTCTTAGTATTTCCTTCCTTCATAAAGCTGTATAAATTCTATAAATCTCTTCTGTACACTGTTTGAAGATGTAACCCAAGTAATGAATTAAAAACCCTGAGGTGGTGAACTCTGTATATGAGAGCCGAGATATGATATATGAGAGAGAAAAAAAAAAAAAAAAAACATAATTTGACATTATGGGCAACACAATTTCTTGTTCTGCTAGCTGTTCCTTGCACTTATACTGAATTTAAAAAAAAAATAAAATTGTATACACCTGAGGTGTTTGGACACAATCAGTTGTTATTATTCTTTTAGTCAATGCTTTAGTTTCCTGTTTATTTGTAATAGTTTGACCAATAAATGCATCACTTCATACTGCAGTATGTAGTAGTGCAAATGCAAACCTGTTTCTGATTGGTATACGCTGATGGAAATGTACATACACACTTTGCATTACTACAGGGACACTGTATATTTGAAGTAACTAATAAATATATATAAAAAAGTAATAATTTCACTTTTAATGATTTCTCTACTCTCCCAGAATTGTCCCAAACACCGTATCTTTGTGTCCCAGGTGCTATGTTTGTTTGTCACCGGGACAACGAGACTTCCTTCTTTGTGCTGCTACATATATATTATAATGCATACACAGACAATACAAACACACACATACACGTGCATAGACACACGATTTTATCTATTTTGTTGTTTTAATTCTGAATCCCTCTTGTCTTTTTGTTCGAGTTGTTTTAACCTGAATGTAAAAGCCTAACACAAACAATACACAAACAAATAAATGAAAAGAAACACGCAGATTTATAATTTTACCTCTACAAGCTTCATCATAGGGACTGGGTTGAAGAAATGAAGGCCGCCAAATCTGTCCAGCCTGCTGGTGGAGCTGGCGATGTCAGAGATGGGCAGGGAGGATGTGTTGCTGGCAAAGATGGTGTGTCTAAAACACAA